ACGGTGCGACTCTACCGACCCACTCGGTTTCCTCTCTCCTTTTGTGACCCGAGCCAAGATTTTGTTTCAAGAGATCTGGAAGTGGAACCTGCGTTGGGATGATGCACTGCCGGGTGAACTGATGGGAGACTGGGAGAGCTGGTGCGACGAGCTCACCAAACTGGGTCAGATCAGCGTGCCCAGGTACTACGACAGTGGACTGAGCAACATAATCATACACAGAGCGTTGCATGTGTTCTCGAACGCCAGCTCTTCTGCCTACGGATCGATTATTTTTCTGTGTTCAACTGACGACAGCGGAACGAAGAAGGCGACAATATTGCTCGCTAAGTGCCGCGTCGCCCCCCCTGAGGGAAATTTCCTTGGCGAGACTGGAGCTCATGGCAAGCTTGATCGGATCGAGACTACTGAAGTACGTCTAGACATGCCTCGAAATCCAGGTGGACGAAGTTCACTTTTGGACGGACTCGATGATCACTTTGCACTGGATAAGAGGAGAGGCCTCCAGATGGAAAACGTTTGTCAAAAACAGAGTACTGGAGATACAAGGAAACTCAGGGGACGCACAGTGGCACCACTGCCCGGGTAAAGAAAATCCCGCAGATTTGATGACCCGAGGGCTGAAAGCTGATCGACTGCTTTCTGCTTCACTCTGGTGGACCGGACCAACTTGGTTACAGCTTCCAGCAACCGAATGGCCCGAAGAAACTGTTGGGGTGCTTTCCCACGACAAGCTCGAGGAGAAAGCTTCGAAAGCTGTAGTCACGCTAGTGCCTGCAGACACGTCCGTGGAGTTCATGGACATCTCGAGATTCAGTTCGACTGCGAGACTGCACCGAACAACAGCCTGGGTGCTTCGGTTTGTCCATAACCTTCGATCACCAATCAAAACTACTGGATCGCTGAGCGCTGAGGAGATCCAAGCAGCACAAACCGTTTAGATAAAGAAGGCACAAAGCTCGACGTTTGCCTCCGAGATTAGTTGTGCAGCTGGAAAAAAAGCAGTGCCGCCTGGTTCAGCCTTGCGAAATTTCCAAACATCCGTCGACCAAGAGGGAGTGCTCCGGATCAAAGGACGTATCCGATCAGCAAACCTTACTAGGGATGAACGTGAACCCATCGTGCTGCCCAACGAGCACCGGTATTCTACCTTGCTGACCATCGAAGCTCACCGAAAGATGATGCACGGGGGGCCACGAGACACTCTCATGCAGCTTCGCGAGAGATATTGGATCATTTGCGGAAGACAATTGGTGAAAAAGGTGGTGCATGCTTGCGTTACCTGCCAGAGGTTCAGTGCCACTCCTGCCAGTGCTCCAACAGGACCTTTGCCGGGTGCAAGAACCATGCAGGCTGATCCCTTTGAGGTAGTCGGCATAGACTTTGCGGGGCCGATGTATGTGCAAGAAAATGAACTCGTGCATAAGTCATACATTGCCTTGTTTACCTGTGCCGTCACGCGCGCGGTGCACTTAGAGCTTGTGCCGGACGTTTCGACAAAAAGCTTCTTGCTTGCGTTCCGAAGGTTCGTGTCGCGAAGGGGTTTGTGTCGCATCGTGTACTCGGACAATGCGCTGTCCTTCAAGAGGGCGTCCAAAGACTTGGCCGAACACTGGAAGACGCTCCGACATCCAGAGGTGGTAGACCACTTCGCCAACGCGAATATTGAGTGGCACTATATTGTTGAGCGGGCACCATGGTGGGGAGGCTTCTACGAGCGACTCGTCCGATGGGTGAAAGTTGGGCTCAGGAAAGTGATCGGTAAAAAATGTTTGAACTCGGAAGAATTACATACAGTTCTGTGCGAGATTGAAGCCGTAGTGAATTCACGGCCTCTCACATTTGCCTACAATGAGATCGACGAGGGCGAGCCGCTCACTCCTGCAAGCTTCCTCACGGGACGAAGGCTGACGGCGCTTCCGGTGGCGGAGAAAAAAGACTTCGCTTTGTCACCTGAGGTGCTCCACCAGCTTTGGAGACGCAGAAAGGAGGTTCTTAACAGATTTTGGGAGATGTGGCGATCGGAGTATCTAAGAGAGCTCCGATCCGCCTATGAAAGCAAGCAATGGAAATCCACACCCATTGAGGTTGGACAGCTTGCCTTGCTTAAGGAGCAGCTTCCACGTTTGCTGTGGAAGGTGGGCAGAATTGAAGAAGTGTTTTTGGGTCAAGATGGAAAGATTCGTTCATGTGTCGTACGTTTAAACAGGGGATTGTTGCTGAAACAACCGGTTCCATTGTTTTATCCAATAGAAGTAACTGAAATTTAGAATGGGTTCGAACCCATTCGGTGGGGAGTGTGTTGTAACTAACGTCGGATAAACCTCAGTTGGCGTTAGACAAACAGGGAGTAGAAGCAGAAAAGAAAAGTCTGCTAAGCTGCCCTGGCACGTGCGTACGAAAAGCGGGGAAAAGAAAAAGAAGAACGACGACGACGATGAACATGAACGATTGAACGTTTTGACCTTGCAAGCTTTCGAATGTCGATGTATTATTCTCAGCGGTGTAAATATTAAAGTGTTGCTCGTTGTGTGACAATAGAACGATTACTGTGACGACCCGCAGCGACTGCAACAATGAAATCCTCACGGAAGAACAACCAGAGCGATTTTTGCAGCCACTCACACAGCAAAGCCCCATCACGGCAACGTGCAATGCCACACACTTTTGTTTCGCTTCTCAGCCACCCTGAATGCCCCAAGCATCTGCCTTGTCTGCCCACAAACACATTGCAAAAAAAAAAAAAAAAGATTTTGCTTATACGCGATTTGTGTGTTTACCAAATCTTGTTGATGTTTATACATTCTCCTTGTTTACATTTTTTTATGACTAGGCTTAAAAAGTAATTAAGTCATGCCTTCTGCATGTTTATTTAACCACCTTGCCCCGCAATATTTGAATTCACCACTTTGAGAGTGTGAACAAAGTGCTTTACCGACTGAGCTATCCAGGGTAGGGGGTCGGAGCATGCAAAAGCGAAGCCATTCGCGCAGTGCGCCAATGCGCGGTCGCGAGCTTTGCAGTTCTTTTTGTTATGCTGTGCATTCTCACAATGTGAGCCAGAAATGAGAGCAAATCTTTGTTAGGCGCTGCCATTCAGATGCCCTTCTCTTCTTCCTTGAAAGGCCGGTCAGACATTCTGTTCTAACCAGCCTTCGTCAGCATGATGAAGCTTGTATAATTTTTTTTTTCTTTCCTTGTTTTCATTTTTTTAGAGTGCTTTTTTAAACTCTCATCCAGTACACACGCACTCACGCACATGTGATGGTGGGGCATGCAACTTTCACAGTGTACAGCAAGTTATATTTTTGGGAAACTTAAAAGAGTTTCCACTCGGAGGGCGAAGAAGACAAAAATTAAACTGAACTGTGCTTATGCGTGGTGATCGAGAAGACGCCAGAAAGAAATTCACTCGCATATTAATCATACGGACAAAGCCGGGATACACAGAACGTGCAGCGTGCCCTGAGGTCCTTCCACCATTGGGGCGACAAGTCTTTTGAGGCAACACAGGTACATACACACCACTATGCTAACCAAAGCGCACGGGATAGGGTATTGAATTACTGAGCGGGAGGTCAGTAGTTAGATTCCCACCAGAAGGACCCAGTCTTTCATAAGACATCTGACTGTGTTATCACATCTTCATAACAACCTTTCGTGATGTCCTAGGATTGGAACTCAGCCCTAAAACACATTCTGTGTTGAAAATAAAAGCACACCCCAAAGTCCATACTATAAAGCCCATACAAACAGAAACTACAAAGAACCTTTGTTTAACTCTCATGACAGCAGTAAAGGCTTCACTTGGTTTTGCTCTACGCACAACTGCATTAATAAGTTTAGGATAACAAAAATTACTCTATCTTGGGTACCAGCACGCAATACTGAATATGTCTGGCTGCATCTGAGCTCAAGTTGCATGTCAGCAAATTTCACATAGTGAATGTACTAACATGTCGAGGTATTGAGAGGCAAATTAAAATGTTTATTCGAGTAAATGGGGTCACACAAATAAATGGCTAATTGGCCAGTGCCATGCTGCTCACTCATAACAAACTTAGGAAGACAGGTGGAACCCAAGGAATTCTGTAAACAAATTAATTTTTGCAAATACCCAACTTTTGCTAATTTCGTGACTTAAAAAATATAACGAAATATGTATCAACTCCACGGTGATGAATACACAGCACACAACTCAACATTTTGAAGCAACTCAAGACTGAAAAAATACAAAAATCGACACCAAGAGAAGTACAACATCTCACTTGCACCTTTAAGTTCTGTTCGCATACAACTGTCACTCACAAACATTTGTAAATGCGAAATATTCTTGAGTTCCCCAGGCCACAAAAATCGTAAGATATTGAGCCCACATGCGTACCTGCTGGATCGGAGTACAGTAACTTTATGAAAGAAAGTCTACATGTTGCACAGTTAAAAATTATCATGGCAATAATTAAATACAAGGAGACTAGTACATAGTAGTATATGTTAAAGCATGTAAAGCACTCCGAAAATGTCGTGAACATGCTGTTTTTGTTTTTCTTAAAGAACCCCTGAAAAAGTTTTTTTTAAACAATCTGATAGGGACACAATAATCAAAAAAAAATTTTACGCAAAAAAAAATTTTTTTTTTTAGAGCAATATTGACGGCGAGAGATTTAGTATTTGAAATTCTGCGCGCGAAGTCCATGAAGTCCCTGGTAGTTTCAGAATGACCATCTTGGTCGTGAAGGCGAAACCGCTCCACCTCTCCTCCATGCGCCCGAAATGTTGAGGGAGAAAACAAGTGGAAAGGAGGTGACTGCCGACTAAATAGCGTCTCGCACCGTCAATATTGCCCTAAATATTTTTTTTTTTTGCATAAAATTAATTTTTTTACATGAGTGTCCCAACCAGACTGTTTAAAAAAAAGCTTTCTTTTTCTTTTCAGAGGCTCTTTACGCTTACTCCAGAAACATATGAGGATATAAAAGAGGCAAGTTTCAATGTGGCACCTTTGCAAAGAAAGAGACATCATCCTCATCCATGCCATTGGTAGAACTGGCACTTGAGCAGGAGCACACAATGCATAGCCTCGGATTGTGGTCCGACAGATGGGAGTCCAAGTCCTCCGAAATAAAATCGTGCAGTGCTGCGGAACAGATATGCCAAGGTCAAGCTCACTTTGCAATAAATCTTATATTTTATCTTATGAGAGACAATGAGTGTAAATCAGGAAAAACAAGTATGATTAAGATGTGAAAGATGTATGTCCTAGAAAGGGTATTTGTGAATAGTAAGGTTGTTACAATATAGGAAGCATAACAATCAAACAATAAAAGCAGGGTTAAGGAAGGGCTAGCCCAGTAATTCTCAACCACTGGGGAGAGGGGGTTGTTGGAAAATTACAATGATAAAACGGTAAATGAAGAAAACTAAATCAGTGGTGGTCCAGCCAGTTTTGAGTTGGGAGCAATTTTCAAAGCAGAAAAAATCTCGTTATGAAGAACCTTTGTATCAGAAAAAATTGCTTTTTGAAGCAGTTTTGGAGCATCACATACATAAGTTTGGAGCAAATTAGGTGTAATAGTTCTCTACTAGTGATGTCGGCATGCATTCATGCGATCAGTTGCGTGATGCCTATCAAAAACCCAAAGTTAGCAGTTATGCTCTACTGCAGTTTGTGACAGGTTAAGAATAAAGTGTCTCCCTCCAATTTCCAATTTAGTAGAGTGAACACTGGAAGGAGGCGACTCTCCTTTCTAGTGTTCGCTCTGCTAAAGTAGATAGAAGTGGGAGGAGCTTCTGCCTTACTCTTAACCTGTCAGACTACAGTCAAACTTCCCTTTAACTGCTGTGCCATAAACTTAGTCAAATTCGTGTTTTGTTTCCATTAGTGCTAGTAGACAAACATTAGCAGGATTGATGTAAGCATGCTAACATAACTATTGAGAAGCCGATGTAGAGTACCAATTTAACTCTCTAAAATCCAAAACATTTTGGCTAAAGGCCCCATCACAGACTTGCACTTGACTACAACCGACTGAGACAAGACCGGTTTTAAGCCTCTTGTGACGGCTTAAAGGGCAACTCCGCTCCATTTTTGTTTTTGAAAAATAATGCAGTCCTCTTCAGTATCACCTAGGAAGACCACACGTCAAATATTATGATGTAGTTTTGTCTAAATATTTCTTAAACGATCCAGCACACTTTGCAACTTGCCGAAGTAGGGTGACTTAAGCGGGTGAATTGAGGCGCAACCAACAGCGTAGTCAAGGCTACGGTGTGCGCATAGCCATCATTGACCTAAACGTCATCACCATTGCCTTTTTTTGCTTGTTCTTAGTTCTTCGGGCAAGCACAACGGGCGACGTCAACAACGTTTCCTCTCCGAGCACCTGCGCAGCGTGCTTCTTGGGAACCCTCCAGATGTCCCGCCGGTGGTCCCGCCGTTATTGCCGACTCCCGAGTCACAACCGCAGTCGTCGTCTCACCGTTTGTGATTATTGCCTCTCAGAGTTTCATTCACACTACGGACACTACTTGCGCAGACTTATGCCGCAGTTGTGCAGATGTTGTTGAATGTCGTAGACATCAAAACGTGGTGAAGAGTGCGATGCAGACGACACTTTTGCCTGGCACACGCCCACCCTCATCCCACCTATCATTGCGTAGAGGATCACGTGACATCTCATATCACGTGATAGCCATGTTCTTGGCGGCCCGAGGCCTATGTTGCCAGACACATACCTTCCAAATTCGAATAAACCAAATCAGGGAGATTTTAAAGCCGGGGGAAGGGGGGGGGGGGGGTCAGTGTTTTTTTAAAGCAATAATGACAATGAATTTACATAAAGACAACATCATTACATTTTTATTGCACTTATCGCAGAAGCACGTCCGCTTGTTTTAGAAGCACGTCCGATTGCAGAAGCACGACGTGCTTCTGCGATCGGACGTGGGCGACAACATCGTTCTTGCCACCATGGGAAACGCTTATGTCGCAACTACAAACGAAGCAGAATGCGTGATGTTTGCTCTTCCGTGGCTCCACAATGCAACCGAATTCGGTTGTATAGCTCTTTAAAAATACTTGCAGATACTTTTTTGCGTTCGCTCTCTTTGCTTAAAGCCATGACTGGCAGAGGCCAAGGAAACGTCACACGCCGAGGGACGCTGTAGCACGGCACTAGTGACAACAAAGAAAAGAGAATCCAAGCTAACTAGCTTGGATTGGATAAAGAACGATCAAGTGCTTGGATAGGATAGAATTGTATTGTATGCCAATGTGGCCAGACAAAGAGCAGGTCTCAGATAGAAACAGGGGCTAAGTGCGTTTTCCGGGAGATTTTCCTGTCAATCGTACAACCGTACGAAATTGTCAAAATCCGGGAGTCTCTCGGGTAATCCGGGAGACTTGGCAGGTATGCGGACAAAGCAGTAGTTTTGGTTTCGTTTCCTGCTTGTATTTAAAATTAGATTTAAAAATATATCTTCCATTTTTCACGAAGCAAATGACGTTGTTTGTTTTACTAGGGTTTTTAATGCAAAATCACTCATTATCCATAAATCTTCGGAATTGAGCAAAATGTAGAGCGCCATTTACTAATAGCGCACAAAGAACTACATCTGCCATCTTGATAGTGGCACGAAAACGAAACCATTGACCCGACTGGCAAAGAACCAATGTAAACAGGGGACTGCACTTCCGTGTGAGAGGTGCGATGCCAATGCGTTGCTGCGTTCCGCTGAAAATTCTGCGATAAGCCGAATACCTTGGATAAACCTTAGATCCGTGCATGACGTGAATGCAAACATGAACAGGGTTCACAAACTTTTCTTCTTTTTATGTGTTACTTTACATGCAGCTTTTGACAAAAACAATTGGCAACAACGCTTAGAAACATGCTGACGTTGTCACACGGTGTGAACCCACGTACAACTATTGAACAGGGCCTTAAACCCTTTACAAAGTTTTACTAAACTTGTTTCTGAATTTTTCTTTTTTTCTGGTGCATGTTGTAATGTTGGTTTGCGTTTTTCTTGATGCGAAAGCAGCTCAATGTATGCAGACGAGGCTAAGGCTGTAAAGCGAGGCGAAAATATAACAGTTTTAATGAACTATGCTACCAATCATGATTGAAGATGCATATGGTTAACAGTGAACAACAAAAGCTGAAAACACCACAGGGTCCTACATTTAAATGTGATATGTATATATAAAAAAAAAATTGCTTTCGACAGTTAGAAAACAATATGATTGCTTAGCAGTGATTTCTATATAATTTGATCTGGCGTCGGTAGACAAGGTTTGTAAGAACACCTCAAACTAAACAGGGGAGGTTGTTGCTAAAATATTCTTGAATATTTAAAGCGCGGTTATATAGAATAGAAAACATGACAGACACGGACGACATGTCTGTTTGCTCAACTCTCACAAAGATGGAATTTTGCTGTATTTTTTGTCGAACGCCACATTTGATGACATCACTGGCTTAGGTTCATCGCAGTGGCGAAAACCTTGATGTCGGCAGTGGCGAGAAGTTACGCTACGGACATCTCGTGTAGGAACTTGGGTGAAGTCACTTCATTTCACGGCCTCCTCTTTTTCGCTTTTGTTACATGGTCGCCGCCGAGGTTACAATTTTGTTTAGTGCAAAGGAACTCGGGGTGTAGTTTTCGGAAAGCGAGTGCAATTATTTTGCCAGAGTTGAACGAATGTTCATCAACCAGTGCTTCGTGTCTTCGATCTATTTTATCTTCGTAAAATAGCCAGCAAACACAAAAAAAAAAGTTTTATTGCTCCGCTTGACTGTTAATCGAGGGCTTCGAAGACCCCAAGAACGCCTTCGGGAAGCCCAAAGGGTCCGCGAACCTACAAGTGAGAACCACTAGGCTAGCCAATGTACTCTTTGCTCATTGAAAACACTTCGTAAATGGTAGAAACGATTAGAGCAAAGCAAGTTAGATTTCAGTGTGTTTTATGTGGAGGGAGTGGTAAAAGTAAATCAAATTCTACCAGGTTTGATGTATATAGATTACAAGTACTCTTGGCAAACAGCAATGATATATAGGGTGTCTGAAACGCCGAGGCCCGATCTAAAACAAGCCATAAAAATCGCCGCCTCCACGTAGCAATTTAAACTTTTCGTCAAAGATGTATTTCACGATTGGGTTTTACATTCTAAATTACAAGGCGCAGCTCTTTTTCTATAAAAAATAGGGTCAAGAAACCTGCCAGGGCCAACGGCGGATGGCAACACAGATGACCAAGTTGAGTGGTGTGCGTTTGGAGCACATATTGATAGATGGCGCTACCTCCTTGCTCTGGTTTGCTTTAAAAAAATATAGAGACTGTCTTTTATTCAAATTAACATAATACTCTTGATATGTACCTTTGGTTTAAGAATAAGTGTGGACAATTATAGTACAACTTGAAGTAACAAAAATAAAGGAAAATGCGGTTGCATAACAATAGCACTCTTGCTACCGAAAAATTTTGTCTGCTTTCTTTCGCTGGATGGCTACACAAATAGCGCCATCTATCAATATTTGCGCCAAATACGCCTCGCCACTCAATTTAGTCATCTGCGTCGCCATCCGCCGTTGACCCTGGCAAGTTTTCTGGCCCCATTTTCAAGAGAAAGAGAGCTACGATTGTTCAAGGTAAAACCCACCCGTGAAATACACCTTTGACAAAACATTTAAATTGCTACATGCAGGCGCCGACTTTTTACGGCCCATTTTAGATTGAGCCTCGGTATTTCAGACACCCTATACTGCAGGAACTGTTTAAAATCTATGCGGAGCGCAAGTTTGTCTGCTTCTTTTGCAGGGGTTGTGGTGACATCAGAACGCCAAGCTCAAATTGGTTCTGAATAAAAAATAGTGGGTAGACCTCAAGGCAGCTTGCTCTGAGGTCTACCCACCATCCTTCAATCAGAGCCAATCAGAGCTCTCTGACGTCACTGCAACTCCTGCGCAAGAAGCAGACGACTTGCTTTCCGCATAGTAGAGAGAACAGAACATTGGGGCCAGAAATTCAGTGAAAAAAATGTTGAACATTGTTTTCAACAATAACAAAAAGACCCTTACAGATAAAGGAACATTAGAATAGGAAAATTACAAATAGAAATAGTTTGGGGTTACGAATGAAAAAGGGAAACAAATTACCTCGGATGGCACAAAAGGTATGACTCTGTTAGTGGTAGAGGGTGAAAAAGATGCGATTGCCAATTTTTCCCATTCGTCTCTCATAACTCAAAGATTGTCACCAAACTACCTACTGCTTTGGGGAATGTGATGAGAATGGCAAGGAGCGGACGGACGAGGAACGGATGAGAATGGTGAGGGGGAGCTTCGGTTGTCCCACCTCCAGCGTAAGCTTCATGCCTCCGGTAATGTTTCGGGGTCTCCTGAGCCTCGAGCATGCAAGCGTAGCCAAAGCACCAAAGAAGGCAGCGAATGCATGTCGAAGGCCGGGCGTTCGAAAGAGACGCCTTGCCCTTCTCACCTTGTCAATGATTAAAGCGTCGAAATTTAAGAAAGAATTAAACGTAGAAGGACGGAACAGAGAGAGACGTGCTGCCCGTGATCAGTCCTTCTATGCTTAGTTCTTCTTTAAGCTTTTGTAGAGGTTTCCCGCGGCAGGTTCGAGAAGCCGCAAAAGGAAAGAGGGCGAGTGGCGTGGACGCTCCGTCTACTTGCCCTTGTAGCCTCCCCTGACCAGGCTGACGTACTGCAGCTGCTTTTGAAGGAAGCTGGAGATGACCATGTGCACGTACTGGTCCTCCTCCTCCCGCCCGCTGCCCATGAAGCAGAGGTGCTCCCCGCTGGCCACCGAGTTGGCCTCCATCGCCTGCTTCTGGGCCGCAAACAGAGCCTGCACCGCAGTCTCAAAGGCACGGGGCTCTTGAAGCATCTGCGACCAGAACACGCAGCCTGTTCTTTCGGGGGTCGTCCTCTCACCAGTGGAGGTCTCCACGTGCCTCACTCCAAGTGTGCAACACCATAAATAAGACAACCTCATTTGTTAGTGCCTTACCAGCAATGTCTCGTTGCTACGAAAGCATTCAATAGAACCTTTTCCAATGCCACACCATCTAGCGAGGACAATTCCAAATTATGCGCGACTGCCGGGCGTGGTCACGTGCGCAGCTACCGGGCGCTATTACGAGGTACATACATAAATACCTTCGTTTTCGAGTTTTATATTTAAAAAAAATTGTGGGCAGGGAATTAAAATCAGATGGTACTTTCGAAACTTGTAATAAGGGAAAAATTGGGTTTTTCTAGAAACCATTATGGAATTCAGGATTTTCGTGTTATATATAAAAATTATAAACTATTATTGACAATAAAAAGTCTCGCAGCGTGGCCTCGCGGCGAGATCAAAGCGTACTCCAGATGAACAGCAATTAATAGCTCTGAAAAGAGCCTGTCAATAGAGGCCCACAGTTTTTGCAGTTGGCTCTGTTCATATGTACACTCATAAGCCTTCAGGGATTATATGCCTTTACTCATAATCCCTGAAGGCTGCCTCCAGCAGGTTGTTCGTGATTGCATTGTAGGCGGATATATTCTGCTCTTTTAGTTCTGTCCTTGTGCGTACACGAATGGTGTAGAACAGAGGCCAGGTTCACAAAACAATCTTACGCCAAAAATGTGCATAAGTCAAAACGTAAGAACAAATTTGTGTTCACGAAACTAAATTATCATAAGTTTGCGCAGGTTAGGACGGAACCCTACGACAGCTCCAAAGCTGTCTTTCGCACTTCTTACGATCAAATACGCATGGCCGACAGCGTCGCTCAGTTACTTGGTTGCGACGACCAACGGGCGTTTATTTTTCTATGTGCCCTTCTCGCGCATCCCGACTTCAAGCAGCACGCAAAAAGTAAAAACTACTTGAAACAGACCACGACGAACAATAACGCTGGATCCACAAACACCCGGGAAAAGCTACAACAGCCACAATTCCACCGACCCCAACCAAGCGAGCTCAGCACAATATAGGCCTAGAAGGCACTCCGACTCAGCGCAGCATTGCTCTGACGGTCCTTGGCCAAGACCGTCTGCCGACGACCGGCTGGCGTGCTGAATGGAATATGCCTGCGCGACCCTTGTGGACCTTTCCCATATTATAGTTTGATCGCTGACCTCAATTTTAGATTAAGAGGTCAATCTCTTCCCCCAGTCATCTCCTTGTTTTCCGAGGCAGCGGTGACAAATTCTGTCTCCTTGTTTTGTGTAATATAGAGCTCAAATAACCGTATGGATTACCTTCGCAACACGGTATGTACATTTTGTTATTAGTATGCCATTTTTATTCTGACACAACTGCACATCACTGCCGAGTGGGAGCTACGCAATGACAGTCCAACCATTCTTTGCCGAGTGTCACGTCAGTATCGAGTTGCAATCGTAAAAGATTGGTTCCGAAGCGCTTATCGATTCGCGGTCCAACAGCGCGAGTCCAGCACTTCGATCAAACGTGCGTGTCCGCTCCGAGTGTGAACAGGTATTTACGTGGCTCTTGCTGACACTCTCGCAGCTCAAACATATCTTTTTTAACGTCGGCTTTCTCCTGCATCTCCGAGGCCGCAAAAAACGCCGCGGCGACACGGGCGTTATTTTAGCAACGACGACAGTTGTGTTGACTTCGTAGCAGTCAACGGAAGCGGTTACACATACCGGCCTCAGCATTTGGGCACGTTTAAATCGTGTTAACGTCGACATATCACTGCACAGACACAAACCCCAGACAAGTGATGGCAGAAAGGCTGCCTCTGTTTGTCATTAAAAATCCACGTGCTCCGAACTGCTCCGAACCATGCCAAGCTCTCCGACTAGTTGTTTGTGCTGCCGAAGACGCCGTCGCCATAGCAACAGCACCGGTGAGTTCTAGTTTTTTCGTACGAGAACATCGCTTTCCTCCTCTCACTTAAGAACACGTTCGTGAATACCGATTTCTACTCTTCTTATGATATTCTTAACTTACAAACTTCTTAGCTAAGTTGTCGCAAACTAAGAAGCTCTTCATGAATCTGGCCTGTGGGCTTTTATGAAACTTAAAACAAAAACATCACAAATTGTCAGGTCAGGGGACCATACAGGCAAGGCATTGTCGGTGACCCTTAACCCATCCAGTTGTAGAAAAAGGTCCTGTCAAGCCAGTGCCTCACTGCTGTGGCACAGTGCGGGAGTTCTCCATGTTGCAGGAAGATGCACACCTCCCTTTGCATGTGCCAAGCTTCCAGTTCTGGCAAGACATCCTGTTGAAGCATGCGAAGGTAGGCATCGCAGGTGACCGTGCCCTCAAGAAAGAATGGGCCGACAACGCCTTTTCTCCAAAGTCCACACCATACCACGACCTATGGTGACTCAACAGCCTCCTAATGATCTAACAAGGGTTTGTCTCGGACCAGAAGTGGGTGTTCTGCTTGTTGACATGCCTGTTAGAAGGAAAATAAAGGAAAATAGCTTCATCCGTGAAAAGCAGAAACTGAGGATAGTTCCTGTTTGTGGAGATTCGCCCAAACTTGAACAGGACCCGTGGCTTCAACGGATACATTTGTCAATGAATCTTTCTCCAGACGAAATCTCTACTGATACCAAGCTGTCTTGCGACTTGTCACATGGACAGCTGTGGGTTGAATGCAAATGCCGCAGGCACGGCATGACGTTTGTTCTGCAGTGGTGACCTCTCTTCGTGCGCTCGTGGCCTGGTCTCCACAGTGTTCCCCACATTGATTTGGTATACCAGTGCATGACAGTCCGACAGGTGGGTAGGCACTTATGAAAAGTGGCTCGAAACTTCGAGTGCACTTGCCTAATGCGCCTGGTTTCTGTAAACCAAAGGACTACTTGTGGCCTTTCTTGGACAGTCAGGTTATGCACTGTGGTAGTTTGCCCACCAACTGTGACAAAAATGTATCGGGAGCAGCGCTGGAAGGTGTAACCGAACAGCAAAAGATAACAATTGACACGCAGACAAAATCCGTCGGCAGCAAGAGCGCCATCCGGGGAGTCGTTATGCAACTGTATTCTATATATAAGAGGAGAGGACCCAGTACAGATTTTTCAGGGATAATGGACACTAGAGAAACTAAAGGTCAGCAAGTGTTGTTACGAACACAAATTGAGACCGCTTAGTTGGGAAAGCATGAATCCAAGAAACTATGCTGGATTCAACATTTAGTAAAGTTAACTTATAGAGTAGTGGGTTATGTGGCATCCTGTCAAACGCTTTGGCAAAATCGAGAAACGTGCATTTAGCTTGGGAACTATGATAAAAATAATGTGAAGGTTCTGAGTGAAAATTAGTAGCCGAGTTTCACAGAAAGTTTTTCCAAAAGCCATGTCGCATCGGTGAAAAAATATTATTTGTTTCCCAGGAATTGATGAGGTGTGAAGGCATGATATGCTCTAGAATTTTGCATGGCATACTGGTTAGCAATATTGGACAGTAACTGAGAGGACAGTGTTGATCACAAGCACTGTGCATCGGTGTCACCTTTCCACCATCCAGTTATTGGGTAAACATCCAAGGTCAAGAGATTGTTGAAATAATTGAGCTAGTTTTATCAAAAAATATTCTGCAGTATTTTTTAGAAACTTGGAATTAATAGCGTCGAATTCCGCTGCACAGATTCATTTTAAATTATTAATCATGCTAACAGTCTTATGTGAATAGTGGATTTTGAGTTTGAAGCAAATTCAAAGCGAATACAGGTTTGGCCGAATATTTTCGATTTGAATATCGAATAGTTTTTCAACGCCTTTCACTACCATTCTGTAATGCTTAGACGAAAACCCAGCTAAGCTTGTGAAGGTTGTTCCACTTGTTCATTAATAAGCTAAGTTTATCTATATTTTTTAAGCTGTGTCTTCATCAGGTCTGATGTCTTGGGATGGCGAGTAAACAACGGATTGACATAAAATGAATGCTATAGAGATGGCGAACTATACCCAATTGAGTGAATTTACAAATCTTGCTATATAAAATATTCTTTCTTTAATCTCGAGTTAAAAAAATATGAATCGCGCATGAGGAACGCAGGTTGTAAGGGCATCTGCCTAACACGGTATACTCTTGCATACCAGTCAGCTTAATTTTGAAACTTTTACTACAATGTAGATATACACATTCACAAAGCTTCCCTTTATTCCCAAATACAGCCGGCACGCGTGCACCATCCTGCTTTGAATGTATGCTTTTCTTCCAAGCACGCAAATGCAATATTCCTACTTTTCCAAGTGTTTTTCGCGGCGGGTTACCCCGTTGAGTGCGCTTCTTACTGAGCACCGATCTAATGCAGAGAAGCAACACCTGCGGAGGTCGCTTACGCGGGTATCCGCGACTCCAGCAAGACGGACACCGCCAAGCGGGAGAACCGGGAACCAGCCGGACTAGGTCGCTCCTCGCCCCTCCCCGTCTCTGGTGGCTTTCGAGGACACGTGTTGTCGGCGCGGTGGCGAACGATGTAATTTGACGAAGGTCCGAAAATTTCTTAAGTTTGATTGAGTGTTCATTAATGTGGTGAAGCCTCAGTAGATTGTTTCCTTCCATCACGTGTTTGAAAGCCCGTTTACTCCACAACACACGGTTACGTGCTTTCGATTTCTCGGATGGAGAGGAATCACGGAAAAAGTTTTGATTTCTTATCTGTCTCGAATCACATTCAAAGTGACGACTCGTTGGTAACTGATAAGTGGTTTCTTTAAAAGGATCTAGAACAGTGGACTAAGGACGACAGACGAGGTGTTTCACTGGAGGGAACACCAATGTAGCACTCAAGTGAATGGGAAGGTTCGATAGCTGCTTTTCTTGAGTTTGGATGTGCTCGATTAGCTTCAAGTTTGAGCCACCCACGCCGGCCGGTGCGTTGGCTATTCATCTTGGCTGCTTTTTGCCAAAAA